GTATTCAAATTAAAATTATATTTCAGTTAATCTGTGGGGTGCATAATCCTCGTTAGCCTAGCTTCAGAAGAATGCCAGAGTTACATTGATGCCCTAGTAATGTAACTCAAGTTCAAGTTTTTCTCCTTAAACACTTTCTACTTTTAATTCTTTTTCTTAAAACTCAGACTGCTTTATTCTCTGTTTTATTTCTTACTGAAACTCGTTAAGTTTGGTTTGATAACTAAAGGATAATAGCCATTCTGTGGAGGGAGAGTGATGGGACTTCAAACAGGAAAGATAAGGAGGAAGGATTAAAATTATTTTAAATTATTCGATTTTCTTACATAAGGCCTTGATGACATCATACTCTGACAGGATTTTAACCCGTGTCATTTTTAATTGACTGAAAAGAGTCCTATACCAGCATACCTCTCTTAGATGGTCACATAGAGTGAAGTATTTAAACATATAAGAAAACAAAAGTAATTTTTTATTTTTTTTTGCCAGTGCACCTTTCCCTCCCTCTTTCCTCATCCCTCCCAGCTTCACTATCTGAGGAGAGTGTCATGACCCCAGATATGGAGAATGCTGTGATCAGCCCCATCCTCCCTTTCCTTTTTCTTGGCAACGAGAGAGATGCACAGGATTTGGATCTACTGCTTCGTCTCAACATTGGTTTTGTGGTCAATATCACAACCCATCTTCCCCTCTACCACCTGGACACAGGCTTGGTGCGTTACAAAAGGCTCCCTGCCACTGACAACAGCAAGCAGAACCTGCGACAGTATTTTGAAGAGGTTTTTGAGTTTATCGGTAAGAGAAATTTTCAACTCTTGTAGTTTAAACATTTACATGTCATTTCTTAACAAGTGCAGGTTTTTATGGGGTATTTAAAATCATCTTCTTGCCATGTTATTTCTGATACTTTCTATTTAAATTGTACATCAGAACTGGAGGCATGTGACCATATTTTGATGTGTGCCACACCTTTTTTTTGTTTCAGAGGAAGCTCACCAGTGTGGACGGGGCGTTCTAGTGCACTGCCAAGCAGGTGTGTCCCGCTCAGCTACTATAGTCATTGCTTACCTGATGAAGCACACCCTCATGACCATGACTGATGCCTATAAGTATGTGCGCAGTCGGCGGCCAATAGTCTCCCCCAACCTCAACTTCATGGGCCAGCTGCTAGAGTTTGAGAGAGAC